ATCCAGATCTTGAGACTGGAAGACATACAGCTTTAATCTAGACCTTGAGGCTGGAGGGCATACCTTTAATCAGGGCCTCACCTTCAGCTGGAAATCTATATAAAGACAATGGGTTGTCTTTATATAGAGGATATCCTTCCTTTCACCTGCTTGTGTGACACTGGCACCTACTTCTTCAGTATTCCAGCATACAGAAGATCAGCTGAGATGCCCAGTCTCGTGGGACTGAGTAGCTACTAGAGTCTTGGACTTTCCATTCACAGCAAGTCAATTGTTGGAATGCAGTCATTCCAATAAATTCCCTTACACACACACACACACACACACACACAGAGAGAGAGAGAGAGAGAGAGAGAGAGAGAGAGAGAGATATTCATTCTGTAAGTTCTGTGATTCTAGGGAACCCTGACTAATACAATCAGGTTGTAAAATTTCCCATTGCAATCAATGATTATTGTAATGAAGTTATATTTCCTGAGGGCTTGGTGACCATTGAATGTGTACTACTAACCTTCTAGAGTGAAACTAAAAGGTTACACAATAGTAATTTTTTATATTATTTCCACATTTTAATATACAATTTCAGGCATTATCTTGTTTAATCTTAGCCATTGTCTAACTTGAGTAACTTATTGTGGCAGTTCTAGGATGCAGAGGTTTATTTTAAAACATAACGAGACCCTTCTCAGAACAGTTTTACTTGACCCAAAGACCAAGGGGTCCAGGTACTCCGGATTACCAAAGATAGACCTGAAACAGTGACCCCTGCCTTAATTGTCTCAGCACAGTGATGATTAAAGACACAGGTACTAGCTAGGTGGTGGCGGTGGCAGCGGCAGCGCACGTCTTTAATCCCAGCACTCGGGAGGCAGAGGCAGGCAGATCTCTGAGTTCAAGGCCAGCCTGGTCTACAGAGTTAGCTCTGGAACAGACTCCAAAGCTATACAGAGAAACCCTGTCTCAAAAAAACAAACAAAGACACAGGTACTCATGGGCATAAGGAAATCAGAAACAAGTCCTATCAAGAAATAAAGGAAAAGTGAGACAATCCAGAGAGTGGGAGGGGCTCCTAGGAGAGAAAAAGCCTGTAATATCCTTGTGCAAGGGCTTTTATAGGGCTATGGCAGACACTGGAGACATGCTGAAGGTAGCTGCTATTGAGATCTCTGGGCTATCATATGCTCAACCAAAGGAGGGCCATACACTCTTCACGTGTCTTCCTGGCCCAAGATGATCATGGGCTGTTAATATGTGTCCTGTTCAGTTAGGGGCTGAGGAAGCCCCCTCTGTCCATCCCTGGCTCCAGTTTTGCTAGTTATCAACCTTGATTGTTTGCAAGCTACTGCATTGTATGCCTAAGACCTTGCAGGTGTTGCCAGTGCTGTTAATTATGCTAAGCTTTCTGTTCTCACAGCTGAGACCTGGCTGTCAGTAGCTGTTCAGCTAACTCCTTGTCTTCAGCATCACCAGATCATCTGGTGTCTCTTTCCACATGTAGGTTGAAGCCTTCTTAGACATCATCTTTATTATTTACAATTTGGTCTTTTGCAAAAAGCTTCATCAGAAGCAGACATATGTAAAAGAGCAATGGTACCTGGCATACAATCCCCAGAAGAGGTTTCCTGGAAGCTAGCCAGCCAGCTTGATGATACTGGCCTTGGGTTTCAGAGCTTCTGTCTGTTTCCTATTGTGTCTGTGAGGCTACCTCATACCCAGTTGCAAGCTTGTTTCTCATCCCAATGTTTCTGGTCTGTTTTATGCTGAGATCCTTTGTAACCTGAAAGGTCATTCTGTGTAACATATGTGGGCAACCTGAGGTTTTCACTGGGGACCTTTCCCCTTAGTAGCTTGTGTTTTATGTCACCTTGGCACAAACTAAAGACATGAGATGAGGGAACCTCAGTTAAAGAAAGTGCTTCCATAAGATGGAACTGTAGGCAAGCTTGTAGGGCATTTTTAAAATAGTGATTGATGGGAAAGGGCCCAGCCCATTATCGGTGATGTCATTCCTGGGCAGGTGGTCTTGGATTCTATAAGAAAGCAGGCTGTCCAAATCACAAGGTGCAAGCCAGTAAGTAGCAGCCCTCTGCTTCAGCTTTTGCATTTCAGGTTCCTGCCCTGACTTAATCAGTGCTAGATTGCTACTTGGAAGTGTAAGATATTTCACCCTTTCCTCCCCAAGTTACTTTGGTCATGGTGTTTCATAACAGCAACAGTTTGGAAACAGATTTATGCAATGGGGTGGGGGAGGAATGGAGTTGCAGTAAAGAAACTGCAAACACGACTGACTTCCCTATGATATGGTTAAGGTTTTTCTTGTAGATTGAGAGTGAGAACTCCCAGAGGTATCTGGAAGAATCCAGAGCAGAGACAGAAGTAGACTGAATAGGGCTGGCAGACTAGACATGCCCAGGGCTATCTGTGAGAGAGGGGAGAATAACCAGCGATAGTGAGTAGAGAGATCATAGTGAGAAGAGGAGGAGCTAAGAGCAGTGAGAATAGCTGGGTTGTTAAAGGGTGGTGGTGGTGCACGCCTTTAGTCCCAGCACTCAGGAGGCAGAGTCAGGAGGACCTGTAATTTGAGGCCAGCCTGGTCTACAGAGTGAGTTCCAGGACAGCCAGGGCTACACAGAGAAACCTTGTCTCGAACCCCACTCCTAACAAAAAAGAAGGGTGAGTAACTGATGGGTAGGGAGGGCCAGATGAGTGGTGTGGAGGCTTTGAAATATATAACAGAGGGAACCTGGAGACAAACACAGACCTTGATATGTTCATAAGTGCCTGATATGTTGATATGTTAATTGGAGAGCCATATGTCACTTTTGCCTGCAGGTAAGGGGAATGAATTTTTTCTAGACAGGTACCAGTTTCACAAATTCCTGAGGAATGCTGGCTTTTGTCTGATCCCCAGAAATCTCCCATAGCCCAGGTTGAGCTCATTTCTTGATCTTTAGACTGTCTTTTGGAGTTTGGGGGATTGGAGTTTCCTTTGGGCCTGACAAAGGCATAGCTATAAAAAGCTAGCTCCTGTATCATTAGTATCCTATTTTGGGGAGACAGAACTGAGACCCAGGATAACTTTTACTAATAATTAAACTACAAAAACAATATGTGAGCACTGGCTTAGGCTATATGAACAAGGAAAGGATAGTTCTAGGGTGCAAGATGGGCCAATGATTTTGTTGTTGTTGCATAACCCTCATCCCCTTCTCATGCTGTCTGAATCCAAAAGTCTTGTCTGTAAGCCTTTGGATGGCTTGGATGGGACAGGTATTCTGGAACTAACTGTAAGCCTTTTGGGCAGCTCGGATGGGACAGGTATTCTGAAACTCGGGAGTCACAGAATACTAAGTGTTAGGCAGCTCAGATGGAAAGGTATCCTGGAGCTCGGGAGGCAAGGAATTCCACAGGTCACAGTAAGCACAGCAGCTTACAGCCCTGTTTCGAGGGGGGGCTTCCTCAATATATCAGCTCTGCTTAGGCAGAAAAGGGCTTCTCCTGTGAAGTTGTCTCGACTCCAGTCCCCCAGAGTGTAACAACTCTGCTCTGTCAAAGGGTTTAGCCAAAGGAAAGTCTTCACTCAAAGCTCCTTCAGGGACTCTCAATCTCCAATTACGTGGGGACACAGGGTTTATATTTTTTTTCAGGGGGCGGGGATTGGTCAAATTTGAATCCCTGAACTGATTGGCTAGCTCTCTGTTCAGGGATTGGTTAGTTTTCTGCTTGGGCTTAGGACCAGATTCCGCTCTAGTTTCAGGGCCAAAATGTGTTTCTTTTACTGGTCTTTTTAGCTTTCTGGCTCTAGTTTTAGGGGGAGGATGTATTTCTTTCACTGGCTGATTCAAGGGACAAAGGGTGTTTCTTTGGCACTAGTTTCAGAGTCAGGGTATATTTCTTTGGTTCTGGTTGCTGGGTCAAGTGTGTTTCTTTGGCTAGATCCTTTCCCCCACATTGTCTAAGACAATTCAAAGGTATGGAAAAAGCCCATGTTTGAAGGGCAGGAGGCGAGCACTGTGTTTGAGTTTGCCTTTGCTAGCAAGGCTGTTTTATTCACTTGTTAAAGAATGGTGGAGTAACAGTTCGAAAATTTAGGTGCTGTTGAGTGTCATTTAAGGTAAAGTAAAAAAGCCTGGTGTGGAGCACAGGTCTGTAACGCTTACACTCAGCACTCAGGAGGCTGAGGCAGGAGGATCTCTGCCACTTTAAGGCCAAAATAGCCTATAATTCAAGTTCCAGACCAACCAGGGCAACACAGTCCTTGTCTCGAAAGAACAAAACAACTCCCTCCCCCCCCAAAAAAACACACACACAAAGAAAATATCGATAATGTTGCCAGTTGGGTTAAACTCCAGAGCCCGCTGGAGGATCTGGTCCTAAGCTCTGATTTTCTGCCAAGAAGGGTGTCTTCGCATCCTTCATTAGCGACTCTTAGAGTAAAGTTGCCCACAGCCTCCGAGAGGCCCTCTGGTCGTCATGGAGACGTCGCACGCCCCTGCAGGCTCCTCCTTTCACAGGGCCGGGGGCGGGGCACGCAGTGGCGCACGCG